ATCATAAGCGGAACCATAAGTCCTGATGCTCCTCAATACAATGGCATTACATCCCAATAAACCCATTGTAAAGTTGAGAAATCCTAAGTCCACCCATGTGAGTCTGGAACCCTCTGGAGAGTAATGGGAAAACCATTTATCTCATCAGTTTACCTAATTGTTGATACTCTACACTGCTTTATGTTTTTTCTCTTGTCAGCAGCAGTTTTAAAAATTAAGAGATTTATTATTACTAGAATATTTAAAATGTTTTTTGTAAGTTTATATATTCACAAATATGTCTGATTATATGTTTGCAGAGCTATAAAGGGTTTTTGTTGTTCATTTTTAATCTTTTATAGTAAATAATCCTGATTTCAAGGCTGGTGTGATGGCTTTGGCTAATCTCCTTCAAATTCAACGTCATGATGATTACCTGGTAATGCTTAAGGTCAGCTTCATATTCTTGATTCTTGATAGAAACTGCATATAGAAAAGTATTCATTTTCTAAATTTTAACTATTGATATTTAAATTTATTTTTGATTAAAATATAGTAGAGGAATGTGGGACATAAAGCAGATTTCATGATTTTATCTGTTTTGGATTGTCTAGTAATAACTAATATCTGGGAATTTACTGTGTGCCTGCCACTGGGCTAAATCCTTTGCAAAGATGATCTCATTCAATTCTCCCAACAGTCCTAGAGGTAGATGCTAATGTCTGTTTTAAAAAAATATACGTATATGAAGAGATGGAAACGTAAAGGGGATAGACAAATGATGTCTAAGATGAAGAAAGTGATAGAGCTGGGATTTTAAGCACTCTGATCTTGCGGGCCATCCTTTTTTTTACATTACTTCTTTTTAAGGGTTCATTGTTGGTATTCATTAAGATAGTGGAAAATGCCAAATCAGTAGTGAATTATATATACTCCCCCAAACCTCTTTGAAAAATTAATGTTTTTGTCTTCTGAATCCTTCATCCTAGATAAGGATACTCAATTCATACCTCCACTTCAGGGAGCCCAGTAATCTGGAAGAGTTCTCTTGTTTCTGAGGGAAAAAATATACTTCAGAAGATTTATTCCTAGTAATTGTGAAAGTACAGTGGGGTAGATCAGGAGATTGGTACTTAAGATACCAGATTAGGAAATTATTTTAGAGATTATTACTAATTTTACAAGAGACTAAAAAGCTTTCAATCAGACCTTGTTGCATGTATGTTACTTTAAAGTACTTTGTGATAAATTGAATAATAAAATTTCACTCTACCCAGAAGAGATTAAACCATAATTTACCCTACTTTTTAGAATTATATATATTTAATATCAGTTTTAACAAGGGAAAGACTGTTCTATTCTTAAATTATTACAATTTTCTAGACTGAATCTGAATCTTAACTTGGATTTTCCCAACCCAGATTGGATGCCAAAAGACAAAAAGTTGTTTTTAGTGAAATTTAGCTGTTTCAAAGGCTTGTTCTTTACTCAATTATGTAAATTGCCTTGGAATAGTTCTACAATGAACAGGTCAGCTTTAATCATTAAATGAGAAGAGAAATAGACAATGCATAGCATATTGAGGGTGCTTTTGTTAGACTCTGAAAACTCGATGGGAATAATTGTATATTAGCTACAACAAAAAGCTTTATAAAATTCTAGTCCAAGCTGCATATTAGACAACCTCTTTCAGTTGTTTAAGAGGCATTCAAATAATACATGGTAATATGGCAAACATCTTAGGTTTGCCAAATACAAGAATCAGTATATTAACTGTTTGGCAACCAGACTGTTTAATACATTTGCAATCACTGTTAAACATTGTCTTAATTATCTTTTTCAAATATACCATTTGCTTTTTATTAAGAATAATTTTTCAAGTTTTCACTTTTTTTGAGTTGTAATTGTCATCCCTCTAAAATTCCATTTTAAGAATCTTGTTTTTTAAGTGTGTGTACATGCATGCATTTGTGCCTGCCATAATGAAATGCCTGTATCCTTTGAAAGGTCTAAAAATATTTTACTATAATTAAGTGAAAAGAGCAAGGTATAAGCAATATATATGATGGTATATGCATACCTGTAATTTAGTGGAGTTTTTGTAGGATACATAATCTGGTAATATTGATTGTCTTCTGGAGGGATAGCTAGGCTCAGGTAGCAATGAGACCAACTTCTTACTATATGTGTCCTTCTATATTTAAAAAAAATTTTTTTTAACCAGGGACAAGTACTCCCCATTCAAAAAATGTTTTTAATTATATCATTCCATGTTATTAAATATTAAAAGTGAAAATTTTCATTACAACAGCTTGGTTTTTAAAATTTTTAATTTATTAATTCAACTAGGTAATTCTAACCTCATCAGACTGAGCATCCTTATTCTCTAGGATCAGAGAAGAAAGAATGACAAACAGCCTATAATTAATTAGTAAAGACAATGTTTTGGGGTTTTTTTTAGGCAATTCGCATTTTGGTTCAGGAGCGCCTGACACAGGATGCAGTTGCTAAAGCAAATCAAACAAAAGAGGTATGTTTTTATAAATTCTAAAGAAGTTATTAATGAAACTTTGCATGTATCTGTGTAAGATGCTCATTCTACATTAGAACAGCCTATAGAAGGATAGCTTACTTCAGTGCAGATGAATTTTCACTTCATACCTCAGAAAGGCTAGCAATAGCACATCTAATTACCTGGCATAAAATAGGAAAGTAATTTGGTTAAGGTCATCTAGTTGATCAGTGTGGTAGAGCTCAGGCAGTCTGATTTAAGAGCCTGTGTTCTTATGGAAGGTGGGGGCAAAGGTTCCATGTGGCCATCTGCATGAGCTTTTCAGTCTGCCCAGGTGAAGGGGTAGAGGCCTGTATTGGAATGTAAGGGTTACAGTACAGATGACAAACAGTACCATCTTTCAGTCCTGCTTTGTAGGCTGAGAAACCTATATACCATGACTACCTTCCCCTTAAAAGAATAGTTGGGAGATATTTTTGATTATATCAGAAATTCAAATATCCCTAAAGTTTCATTAACTATGAGACAGTCCAGAGAATGTCCTCAGGACTAGCAGTAGCTAGAGGTATTTGATAGTGTCTCTGGCATAACCGTCATTCTGGACTTTGGTGCCCCACTCCCATCTCCAATATTTTTTTTGTCCTCTAAGCCCTTTAGGCAGGCCCAGCAGTGTTAAAAGGTTACTAATTCCAGGGCAGTGTCTGTGGAAGATACTTTTTTCCCCTAAAGGTTCTTACTGGCTTATTCCTTATGTATGAATCAGGCCACTGGAAATTAAAGATCAGCTTATTTCACCCACACTATAAGGACAGATAGTACATTGTTCTGGCATAATAAAATCATTCATTCATGCAGCAAAAACTGTCTCTTTGGTTTAAAAGGCAGGCAACTATAAGGGCATAGCCAAATCTCTTTGCTCTGGTTTGCAAATTAAGGTTTGGAGCACTGACAATAAACTGTTAATGTCATCTCAAAAGATACCACCCTATAATAATTTAGTGTACTTCTTTATAACCATTCATAACTAGTATTTGAGGCATGTGGTAATTTTCAGGGGTAGCTATTCCTTGGTGGTCTTTTGGCAGACAGGGAAAAATGGAGCTGCTGGTACAAGACCACCATATAAAGCCACTCAGTACAATTGTACTCTTTAATTTTTTTGCTTACTGTACTTTCATACGTATAACTTACTAGCTATTTTAAAACAGATGGAGCCTAGGTAGGTTTTCATTAATAGATTAGGCAAGTATTGAACAGTGACTAAAGCATTTGAGTAATGATGGCTTTTATCTTTGAAAGTATAGGTAGTGTCTTTTTATTGGTAATGATTTTATACAGTATAATCAGTGAAAGTCTAGATTGCCTGTCTTCATTTTTATTATGAAGTCTGTATAGTTTGGTATCATAAGTCACCATCTTTGGTATGTCCTGTAAGTAATGACTGGTTAAATGGTGGTTTTTCAAAGTAGTTTCTAAATGAACTATTAAAAGTTAAATTATATATAATCTGATAAACATCACACTGAGAAAAATAGTTGTGTATATTTTAGATATGTTTGTGTAATTTGTAAAGAAATTAATGTGCTCAGAAACTTGAGGAAAGTAATGTAAAAGTAGTCCTATTTTTACCTGTACACTGCTTACTGTAGTTAAAATGGAGCTCTCCATAGCAGTAGTGACAAAGCCCTACTGCAATATGGATGTATTATTTTATGTGCCTGGGCTAAAGGATTGGATGGTCTAAAGGCCCTTCTTTCCTAATTGGTGGTTATATGGAAGAACTTGCCCATCCCAAGATAAATTTAAACAGAAAATTCTTAGTTCCCTTGCCCCTACAGCTGAAAGTTAAGAGAATAGTTAGCTGTTTTTCATAGTTTAAATGAGAAAGGATTGTTAATCATATAGTCTCATTTTATCTTTTTTTTTATAAAGGGCTTGCCTGTTGCTTTAGACAAACATATTCTTGGTTTTGACACAGGAGGTAAGTGAGTTTGTTCTGATTTAGAGACTTGGGGGAAAATGAATGGTCTTAAGTGTACAAATTATATATTGATAGTGTTCTCTTCTTATAAAATAGATGCAGTTCTTAATGAAGCTGCTCAAATTCTACGATTGCTGCATATAGAAGAGCTCAGAGAGCTACAGACAAAAATTAATGAAGCCATAGTAGCTGTTCAGGCAATTATTGCTGATCCAAAGACAGACCACAGACTGGGGAAAGTTGGAAGATGAACCACTAAGATTTCAGCTTCTCACCTACTTAGTACAGTTGGGAACCACGTACACTTCTGGCATGTGTTTGGAAATCAAATGTCACATTTTCCAGGGAGGAATCCTAGAAAATTGACAATGTTCTAGAGATTTACCACCACTGCTTTTTTCCTTAATAAAGTTTGGGAAAGTGGATTTTTTCTTTTTACTATGTATAATTAATCTTTCTTGTGTGGTTGAGGTAATACGTCAAGCCCCATCTTGGTCATACAGAGAATATAGATCCTTAAGTCATAGGAAAACTTAAAATATTTTATTGGAATAACATAGAAAATTTGAGAACTGTTACGTCTTTGGTATTTATTAATGTAGTGTTTTCTGTGGGTGCTTCTATAGAGGCACTTACAAGGATGAGAAAATAGATTGAATCATTCTAGCACCTTTTGATATAAATAGAAATGCACTGATGCAGAGGTAAAAAAAAAAAGTTAGACCTTTTGTTGGGAAACTATAAACTGGTCATTTCCCATCAGTTCTGCATTGGCTTCTGTATATCAAAGTTTATGATCCTTAGGATTGTATATTTTTATACTCTCACATGTTTTAATTTCTTGGCCAGAAAGAATCTATAGCAAAAATCAGATTTAGCGTCTTAAACTCTCATTCTTAGTTGAATTTGACCTTTTAAATATAAGTGTTTACAAAAAGTTGCTTTAATAAGCAACAATTAAAATTCTATTACCTTTTTAAAACTTACAGTAGTAAAGATTGAGGTATAAACTTTTCACAAAATATACTTAGTCTTTTTGCACTAAAAATGTTCATCTTGTAGGTCCCAGAACTTCTCATGGCCAATTCCTTTTCCACTTTCTTCACCTTTGTTTGCAGTACATGTTCTTTAGGGTCCAGGTTCTGATTGTAAACTCCAAGTCCACCTTTAACATGGTCCTGTTTACTTTCTTCCTGTGAGGATAGAGTAGGGGGGGGAGGTATTTTATAACTAAGTTGCAACAGCATGTCTTTCATTTTGTATATGGTTAAGCTAGGTAGATGTATGAGCTCTCAATAGTGGCAGCAGAGCTAAGCTGGGCCAGGGGTAATCCATTTATATATATATTTTCTCCCTGCTAATCCAGAGGAGCATCATGAAGCATGTCCATTTACCTGTGGGGCAGTAGGGGTAGACTGCAGTTATCCCGTAGAGATGAGATCGCTGCTCTGGGAGATACTCATCAGTAAACTGACCACTGTCTTTATTTACTGATATAACACCGTCCCTAGTAACAGAATGAATTCATGGAGAGTCAATCACTAGGTAAAAAGATACAAGGTTAAATACAAAAGTCAGTTTTAATAGAGAGAAGTCTCTGCTCCTGAGTGATGCTGATGCCACACTGAAGTTTGAGAACCACTGGTCTAAAATCAGTTGTTCTTAATGCTAGCTGCACATTAGAATCACATGAGAATCTATTAAAATACAATTTCTTGGGCCATGTGCCAGACCAATTAAGTCAAAATTGTAAGGAATGGGGTAGAGGGCTTAGACATGTACATTTTATGTTCCCCAGTTTCTCATTTGAGAACTAGTCTAAATAGTATTTTTCAGTTTTCCTTGGTAGACAATATGTCCACATCTTTTTAAAAATCAATTTAGGTGGCACACACACACACGCCCAGCTACTCAGGAGATTGAGGCAGAAGGATCACTTGAGCTTGCAGTGAGCTATGATGACACCATTGCACTCTGCCCAGGGCGATGGAGTGAGACTGTCTCAAGAAGAAAAAATATACCTCATGGTGCCACTGAAAGGTAGCCTTTTATTCTCTGATGAACAGATTTAGATTAATGTGCTTCCCTTTTAGATAGCTTATTACCAAATAGCTTTGCCACTTTTAAGTTACATGTGAGCAATACCATTAAATTTCTGGGTGAAGTAAAGGCACAATTTCAAAAGCAGTTACACTTGAAGGATGTTATCTGTTAATAAGATAATGAAACAAAAGCCTTAGCAGAGGACTTAATTACTAGTGTCAATTAATTTTTGGTAAAACAAGTAGTATGTCCTCTAAAACAGTCAGCCTTCTCAGGCTTGTCCACAGTATGTTGGTCTCACCTCCTCCAGTCCGTGTGGTAGAAGTGATCTGCATAGCTAACAATGCTGAAGGGGTAGTTGAGGTTATTTTGAATGACACGCCGTCCAGTTCCATCAGGTAGTGTGCACTCCAGTTTTTTGGTTCCTTTTAAAATATTAAAGGAGGAAAATGAGATCCTTTTGCACCATGGAGAAAGAAAAGCTGCTCTGCCAAAAATGATAGTGGCAGATAAATTCCTTATCAAAAGAAACAAAGTATTAATAGAATAGGAAATAGGATATTTTACTTCCATTGTAATCATACAAATTAGCAACTACAAAATTTCCTGTTCTATTATTAGTCTCCAGTTTGTTGAATAGCTTTTCAGTTTTTAATAGAGATAGGATTGCATTTACTGAAATCTGGTGAAGTTTCTTCCAAAGCAGGACTTTAGAGATAACATATGTGATTTTAAACCTTAGCTTATAAATTTATAAACCTAACATCTGAGTAAATACTTGTCCTCTGTAAACAATGTGTAATAGCCAAGGCAACCTTTTGACAAAAATCCTTAAATATTTTTAAAGAATATATTATTTTTTCAGTGAGAGGGAAGAAAAGCAACTAAAATAGTAACATGGCTCATATTTTTCAGTGTAAAGGAGTCAGTCCAAATTTTGCAAAAACTAAACATTCAAGAATTTCCAAGTTTCACATTTCTCATGGAGCCCTGGCTTAAATTTCAAATACTCTTTTAAAATGTAATTTGTTTTGGATGGGTTGTAAAGTGATCCATCTGCATTACAATCCCTTGAATTAGATATTTCTTCAAGAACAGTCTTTTTCATATTATTTAATATAAAAAAGACACATATCATCTTTTCAATTATGCTAATGAGAAGCAAACAAATAGATAAGCCTGGGTATTAGCAACCCAGATTTATTACTGAAGGAAGCCACCTTGTACATCACTTTTCAAAGAATGTTCTTGGCATAATTACATACTGTTACAGTAATAGATTTATCTAAGTTTGTCAATTCAACAGTGGCTAATATTTCTTTTTAACTCTTAAAAATTATGCCAAGTGTTCATGTTGAGATCAGGCAAGCAGCACAAACTTAACTGCCTGATTCAGACCCTCCTTTCCTCACCAAAGATTATAAGGACCATTTTAAAATATTCTTTAAAAATGTATAGACCAAAGGAGTAGATTATGTGCTATACTGTTAAAAATTTATTTACCCCAAAAGGATCTAAATTACAGGATTTGGTTTTGTAGTAAAATCTAGTGCAGTGCTCACACTGAAGGGTTATCTGCATTCCATCAGTAATATTACCTGCATCTGCCCAGCAGAGCAGTTTGGAGAAGGGGTCAAAGGTTAAACCATTGGGTAATCCAATGTCTTTATTGATCAGAATTCTTCTGTTTTCTCCATCTAAAGAAGATGTTTCAATTTTAGGAGCTTCTCTATTCCAGTCTGTCCAGTACAAGTTGCTGTAGATAAGTTAAAAGAAGATTGTAAAAGAATAGCCATGCAGCCTGTGGCAGCATTTAAGACATCCCCCAGTGACACCCCACAGCCTTAAGCAATCCCCTTGACTTTGGGCTGGATTTAATGTCTTGCTTTTAGTGAGCAGAGTACACAGAAGTGACGTGCTATCACTTCCAATACTAGGTTTCAAAAACCTGTGGCTTCTGCCTTGGGTGCCCTCTCTCCATCGGAGGGAAGCTAGATGCCTTGTTGCAAGCTGCCCTATAAAGGACCACGTGCCAAGGAACTGATGTCCCTGGCCGACAGCCCACTGGACAATGCTTGGAAGTGCATCTTCCCCCAGCCGAACCTTAAGATCACTACGCTGTAGCCAACAGTTGACTGCAGCCTTGGGAGATGCTGTGCCAAAGACACTCCCCATTAAGGCACAGCCAGATTCCTGGCTCACAGAAACTGAGACAATAAATGTTCGTCTTAAGCTGTTTGGGGCAATTTGTTACATAGAAATAATATACAGCCATATTTTCCTTTTTTTTTTTGACAATTGTAACTATGTGGAAGAAATCATTGTCTAAGGTATCAGAATCCTTGCCTCTGAGACACCCGACTCAGCTGCCCAGAAACCCTTAATTTGTTGAAATCTTGAATTGGATCTTCGGTTTAGAATGCAAAGAAATGCAGTTGTTAGGAATGGCTTAGCTATAAAAGTGCGACACTTGGGCCAGGGATTTGAGAGGGAAATTGTTCTTAACTGTCTCTTTCAAGGAAAATGATGTTTGGCACTTACTGAAGGGGAATCTCACTTGGCCTGTACCTGGCACCCAGGGATGGAAACACTCTAAGTTGAGGCACTTATCTTTTAAATGCCTTGTTAAAAATGAAAAATAATCATTTAACAGATAACTAGAAAATAATACGGTTTTAATTGATAATAGGTTCTATGTAAGGAAACAGGTTTATGGTTAGAGCAGAAGTGATGAAAGCACTTTTTATAAAATAGTGTTTTATAAAAGCCATAGGAGTGTTGAATGAATCCATTGAGCTAAAGAGAACCTCAAAGCAGGGAGAGGAAGAAATCATAGGTTTTCCCTGTGTCATCCCTTATGCCCAACAGATGAAGCAGAGGAAAGCTGAGAACAAAAGCCAGAAAGTAGTTTCCACTTCGTGCTAAGGTGGAGGATTCCAACTGGTAAAGCATATCATTGCTTTCTCCTTCACGATCTGTCTCCTTCCCCCAAATGATTCAAGATCATTGAAAACATTAAGTCTAGAACAAGCGCACACAGACACACAATCATTTGTGGATTGCTTAAGGAAAAAAACATGTAAGATAAAAGTCTATAGAATGTGAATGAGAAATACCCACGAAGGCTTAATGACTATTCCACTAAGCTGTTGAGGAAGATTTAACTAACTGTGTTACATTCACATTTGGCTCCGGCTGTTTATTTTCATTAAAAATTATTTTTTAAGTCCTTTAAGCACTTATTATTTGCTGTTGTGATAACAAAATTCTACTTTTTTGGTTTTTAAACTCATGGCTATGATGTGGCTTTCAACTTAAAAGTATGCCTTTTCCCCAGATCATGGAGACATGACCAAGGTATCATTGCTCACAGGCCAGCAGCTCCCCCTACTTTCAGTCAAGCATCAAGAATGGAATAAGGGACCTCCCAAATGTCAGAAAGGCAAGCCTATGGAAAAAGAGGGTTTTAAAGAGGGCTATTCATTCTTGTGGCTAAGTCAACTGGACTAGAGAAAGATACACCTTCCCCAGTGTGTAGACCCCAAAGTTCAGAACTACCTTTGAGGCTTTGCACTAAGTATTTCATAGTCAAAACACGCTTTGCTGAAAATTAAAGCTGAACACTTTCTTCACTGATTTGTAAGGCTTCTCCAGAATTTCATTTGGTAGAAGCTCCACTTAAATGTGGCAAGAATTTCTCAAGGTATAAAACGTTCCCTGGTTCTAACAAGTACTGAAATATTGACTAAGTCCTATATGTCCCAGCTGGTGACCTTAATAATTGTCACAGACAGAAAATTTTTATCTTGACTTTTGCTACAATAAAAATGAAGCCAGAGAAAATAACATGCCCAGTGTGTGAGCTTTGGTTACTCTCACCATTTAGGGGAGATAAACCCTACTGTGGCTTTACACCGTGGTTTGTAGATGTGTTGCTGAAGGAGACCCATTTCACTTCCAGTTGAAGTGTCATCTCCTTGCCTGATCATTTGATCCGGAGTAGCCCCCAATCTCTCAACACTGGGTTCACTACACATCACATTACAGTCTAATATTTTTGTTTGTTCACTGTCTTATTTACTCCTAATAGAATATAAGCTGCCTGAAAGAACAGACCTTGTCTTTGCCTAGAACAGTGCCTGACCCCTAACTAGAACCTCAATAAATCTTTGTTAAATTAATGCACTTGAGCTTTTACTGTCTTGTTCTGACCTTCCCCACACCGTATTATTTAAATCAGGATGTACAGGTAACAGAGGGGAATTAGGGAAGCCCAGCTGACCCTCCGATTGGATCCACAGCGATGGCGCGGGGATTCACCAGCTCTGTGTGGAAGAGGACCTTGCGCTCAGAGCCATCCAGCCGAGTCCTCTCTATCTTATCCAGGCCACTGTCTGTCCAGTACATCGTTCTGCGGAAGTGGTCGATGGCAAGTCCTTCGGGGCTTATCAGACCTGGAAATAAAGCAAAGGCAGGACTGGAGCATTTGCAGGGCATGAAGGATGAACCTGTAGCAGAGAGATTGCTGTTTGAACAGTTTTGAAAAAGAGTGCCCAACAGTCTAAGTCCCAAGAACCAGGTTAATAGAGGAACAGGTTCTGTTGTTACTTTTTCTACCATGTCTAGCTTCTTTTAGACTAATAGACATACCAGGCTGATGGCACCAGGGCATCCACAGTGCTGGGGCCAGGCAGAACAAACCATCGCCACAACCTGGATTCTTACCATGAGTCTTTCTTTTGTGAAGGGCTCACGTAAGAATCACCTTTTCGTTCCTTATGTGTGAAAGTGTTTTCAGAGGAGCTAGTCTTGTACAGCTCAATAAAGTGACTTGCCTAGAACTTAACCTTCTCTGTTGGAGGAAGGGGAAGGCTAAGGGAAAGAGGGGAGACTTCAGCACGAAATAGGCAAGTGACTTAGTAGAATCAAATGAAATGCAAAGAGTCTGCTGCGTGAAGCTGCTGACCTGAATTAACAATTGTCTCAGGCTCTGCTCCCGGTTCCAGACTGGCACGGCTGATTGTCCGCCCGGCAACATCTGTCCAGTACACCATCCTCTCCCGGCAGTCGTAATCGATTCCAATGACTATGGAGCCCTTTGTGCACCAAATCATAGAATTGTCAAAATTAGGCTTCTGAATGTCCTGAGTTCACACACTCAGTTGCCTCACTCATCTGTGGCTCTGGTGAGCAACCCTGCACAGTGGTCTTGCAAGCAGAGCAGAGCGGCTGGTCATGTGGGCTTTGGAGGCCAACTCCCTGGGGTCAAACCCACGCTCACACTTCATAGTTGTGTAACTTTGGGTAGTTAACCTCTCTCTGCCTTGGTCTCATTTGCAAACCAAGACTAATAGCAGTACCTACTTCCTGTAGTTGCTATAAAAATTAATACCATAAATGTTTGTAAAGTGTCCTAATCTGTAATTAGCATACAATTAGCCTAAGTGCTGTTGACAGTAAAAACAAAGAAATTTAATGAAAAAAAAAAAAAATCAGCCCCTTCAGTCATTAGAGGACATGGTCTCAGCAAAATAAGTCCTTAGTATTTTACTGGGCAAAAACTGAATCCTTTCAAATGTCAGCCCTTTTTCAAAGAGCCATTCTAAAATTTGTCAACACATGCCAACAAAATCTACTCCTCTATTAATATGATGAGATCTTTCCTTTACACTTATGCTGCAGTCCATCTTACTTCTGTCCCTGACTCCTAGGAAGCAAGCGTTCAGTTGTACTTTGTGTAAAAGAAAGCCTATAATTTGATGGGTTAAAGAACTGGAGTGTCGTGGCTATCCAACCTCTGGCTAGAGAACTCTCCCTTATAGCTAAATAAATGACAGTCTTTTTTAAAAGTTCCAAGCCTATATGATATTCCTTTCCTCAACTCCATACAGTACTTGCTTCATTCAGTTTCTAATCCTGACTCCTGCTCTGAGAAGCCTAGATGTGCAAAGCCAAACATCTAGGGACCATCTGGCTGTCCTTGAGGTCACACCAGTTCCTGCCTTGCCTAACAAAGCCTCTTGGGGCTTGGCCTGATTTAGGCCTCTGAGAGCAGTCAGCACAAGAGACTGCATGAAACAGGGTTTGGCTCCTGTGGATAAGCAACCAGTTCATACAGGGGGACCTAAGGTCAACTACACTTTTACTTGAAAATTAAATAGTCATTTGCCCCAGGCAAGAGTACACACATTCATGTGAGCTCCCATCAACCCAGAGAACCATGGGGTTCATAAACCCATGTGGAGACTTCAAAGTTTCTTGGAGAAAAAGTTGCAGTTTAAGGAGATTTGCTTAAAATGTGCTTATAACCTATGTCCCATTTCTCTTTCAGTCCCACTACCACTACTGTCACCACCCTGCCTTTATCAAAGCCACGTTCAGAAGTGCAGTCAAGCCACCCAACTTGGCTAGAATAAAAGATAAGGTATCTTGAGGTGACAGTAACTTCTTAGTTTCTACCTCTTCCAAAGAAACTTTTACAAAACAACATGCTAGGGATTACCAGGGAGAAAGAAAACCAAACTTGAACTTTTAAAAGAAAGAAAAAAAATCATCTCTTTCTAAACACTGGCTGCTTCTGAGCTGTTTTGGACCCAAATAATGAGTTAGTTCATTAACATAAGTAAATATAAACATGAACACTGCACTTTCTCATGGGTGAGCAAGTGCCTGGCGTCTAAAAATGGAATCAGATGATTTTCCCATTGTAAGTGTCAATGCCTTTCTAGGAAGCCCCCTTCACTTTTCCCCATTTCAGAGAAGAAATCCCTCTCTCCAAAATGGGGTGCCTTGGCAATAGGGAGGCTGCTGGCTTAGGAAGCGGCACCCCTACAGAAAGCTCCATCCACTCCTGTGCTCCCCAGATATTCGTCTACACACAAGTCAGAGAAGTTGGGAAAGAGGTGGGTCAAAGTGACAGAACCAAAATGGGAGTAGAGGAGGCTGAAACAGTGAGGTGACACTGATTTCCCCTTGGAAATTCTCAGCTGATCACAGGAACCACACCTTGCAGCTAAGTCCTCCTATCGTTTTATTTCCAGGGTCACTGTGGATATGTCTGACATGCAGAAAACCCTGGGGACTTGGGATAAAGTTTTGTCAATTTTCCCTTGAATTACCATGCAGCCTCCACATCCTGTCAACTCTGAAATTCCCTTTGCATAGATCTGAAACCCTGTGAAGCAGCCTTGGTTAGCCAGACGTGTCTCCCAGCAACAGAGAGCCCCCCCCCATCTGGGGTGCTGGCATCAGGCCTATGAAGAGGGACTGCAGCCCGGAGACCCTGCAGGACTTCCCCGTGCAGTCCTCCGCCCCGCGACAGGGCTCCACTGTGCGCACAGCCCCCCCCCCCCCCCCGAAGAAATCCACTTTACATGCAGCGACAGCAGGGTCTTGGCTGCGTCCTTCTGAAGCCTGGTGCCGTTGAGGGGCAAGTGGCCGATCTGCTGGCCCTGGGCATACAGCAGGAAGGTGCCCACGGCCGGAGGCGTCACGTCAGGCCGGGGCGTGGGCCGGACGGTGGGCGGAGCGACCGTGGGTATACCTGCGCAGGGGAAGAGGAGAGGCGCAGGGGAAGAGGAGAGGCGTATGGGCAGGGAGAGGAGGGGACACAGGGACGGGTGGGGAGAGGGAAAGAAAAGTTACTTTCCCACATACCAGAGCCTCCCAAAATATAAAAAGTTCTTCACCCTGGACAGATGTGCTCCAGATGTTCTTCACAAGAAATTCTAGTTTTTTTTCCCAAGGATCAATTATGTAAATTACTTCCAATTACTAGGGAGGAAGACAAAATTCTTCCTTCAGAACAAAGCAGAACGGGGTATTTTTTTGTTGTTTTTCAAGGGGAAGAAAACAGAACCAGTATTGTGTCAGCTTCTCTCTGGGGCCCCAGGGTGGCATATGTCGCCTTTCACCCTGGGCTGGGAGGGGACAATAATCGCTTGTTGAGCCGAGCTCCAGATGTTCTAATTACAGAAGCTGCTAATGACAAAAACCAAACACCAAATCCAGCTCGGGATCTGAGGTGGAGGACCAGATTGTAACTTAACACAGCGTACGGCGACGTCTTTCATTAGACTTGGTGACCCCTCACGTCCCCACCTTCACCCACGGCTGGCAGCATCCCTACAGAAAGGCCTCAGATGCCACCGAGGAGAGGCAGGGCCACCCCTGGCACTTACACGCGGGGGTGGTGCCTGGCTGGGAGCGGGTGCCCTGCACCTCTCTGCCGTCTTTGTCCACACACCAGCAGAAGTCACTCTTGCCGTGGCACTGCAGGGGGGTGAAGTGGCCCAGGTCGTCGCACTGGGGCACGTACTGGTCGTCCCTGGGCGAGCCGCCGTAGTGCTCCAGCAGGTTTTCCCTCCAGCGCTCACAGACGGTCCGGGGCCTCTGGGTGGGCTCTGAGCAGTTGGGGAGTAAAGCGCCTTTGTGAGCCAGGGACAGAATGCAGCATGGTCCCCCTGTAATGAGGTCTCAGCCAAGTCCCCAGATATTGGGCTCGGAAAGCAAATGTGTCCTAAGACGTTCTCTGTGGGAATCAGAAGATGAGATCATCTTGATACTCCCATCTCCCCGGGCCGGAGGGTCCGTCATCAAGGCCCCAGCACATCAGGAAACAACAGGAAGAGGTGAGGTGAGTGGTGCAGACTCAGGCGGCCCGGGAAGGGGGACCACCTCCCTCAGCCAGGAGAGGCCCACACGGCCCGCCTCGCCTGCGCCCAGGACGCCTCTGCTGACCCGGCACTTGTGCAGATACTCCTTAGGGACTCAGTGGCCTGGGTGGTGCTTAAAGCCAATTTTTATTCTTTCCCACTTGCGTCAGGCTCCAGGACCTGCTGCTGACAGGGCCACCTTGAGACTGGCCAGTGTGCATCTTGGAATGTGTTACTGAGAGCCTGGCTGTGCCACGTGACCCCCAGTTGCCATCCACTGGAAAACAGTACGGAGTAAAAGTGGAACTGAGTGGAATTGCTGTGTGGAACACGGCAGAAGTAGTGACAAACAACTTAAAACTGACTCTCAGCCCAGTTCCTAGAAGTCCTTTAAGCCACCCTGCTCCTGGATTATCTCAAAGGCGAACCGTTTCCCGCAGGCCCTAGCTTTCTACCACGTTGTTCTGTCCCCCCTCTTTCCTCCAGCATCCGTCCCTCCTGTCCCCACCCTCACAGCTCACCCCACACTCAAACTCCTGCTGGTTTCTGTTGCAGAGCGGTTTCCTCCCAGGCGGCTTCCACAGTGCTACCAAGGCCCTGCCCCTAACACAGCTGTTCTCTGAGAAGACTCTGATGCAGGTTTGTTGAAATAACTTATTTATGGGTGGGATTACCTAAAGGAACTTAAATAAAAGGAGCTGCTTCTCCTTCCTCCTTTTTATTGTAATTCCTGCAACTCAAAGCCCATGGTCTGTAGAATCACACAGCCAAGTACCTACTTGCTATCACTACCTGCAGGTATGATAGAAATCTGGAGGAAAGCTAACAAAAGCGGACCAGCCCGTCAAACCTGCTCCTCTTCCCTAGAGTCTTCCTTATTTGCAAATAGCACCTCCATTCTTCCACTGCTTGGACCTCAGCATGCTTGACTCCTCACCTCTCTCCCCACCAACATCTGATATGTCAAACAATCTTGTCAGCTCTACCTTTAGAATCCACTCAGAAAATCTACACTTCTCATACCCCACACCCCCGTCACCCTGGTCCTCTCGTGATGGGACTTCTGCAATAGCCTTCTTACTGGTTTTCCTTCTTAATACTTGCCTCTGCCCCCCCCCGCCCCCCAGTATAAACTCTACTAGCAGCTGGGATGGTCCATTTGAAACACAAAGGCATTTCATGTCACCCCTTTGCTCAAAATCCTCCAGTGACTTGGAAGAACAAGTTGCAAACGTTATGCCTGGGCTCCAGCACCTACGATTCCTCTGGGAAAACAGGAAGATTGTGAATAAAATTGTCAGGGCTCAAACGCAACTACCTCAACTGCAAGACTCATCAGGGCTGGCGGAGGCGGATGCCCTTCAGTTGCCACCATAGCTTATGCATGGCCGGTGGAAGTCGTGGAGAGGGTAGGATTCTGACTTCCTCGCCCAAATGTGTCTCGAGGAACCCAGAGAGGGGAATGCTAGTTCCTCACATCCTCACCACCCACCTCAAGGTGGGATTCCCTGGAAAAGTTCCCAATGCCACCCCCGCTCCACATTCTGAACTGAAGAGATTCCATTTTTGGTTCAAGGGACCACCCAACAAGGCACATCTGTTTGGAAGGCAGACACACAGCACAGCCAACTTCTGGGAAATGGGCGTCTCAAATCGCTCATGTGTAGGCATCCCTTTCCTTCCGTACAGTTTGAAGCTGCTTCTCAATCCAACTATGGATTTCTTTCTCTTTTGTCTCTGGTTGGCAGGGGTGTAAATATTTTGAAATCTTGGGCACAGAGCATTCTCACCCCCCTCAAACTGAGCCATTACGCAGGCAAGACTAGTCAGAAATGGCAGCCAACGCCAAACCAGCAGCGGGAGAGAAGTCTGGGCATGAGACAGTCTGCACAAAAGAACTGTCCCTATTTTAAGTCTTAACTTCTCACAGTCCCTTGGCTTCTCTTTGAATCGCTGTCCCTAACACATGCTTGTCCTAATAAATTTCATACAATTCTAAGCCATTCCCCTGAGGCACCTCCCAACCATCTGATTCCTTCAAATCCCAGCTGGAGTTAGAACCAAGACTTTTCAAAGACAAGGCAGGGCGAAATAGGATTTCTCTGTAGCCTTTTTTTTTTTTTTTTTTTTTTTAGACCTGTAGAATCTTTTCCTAAAAATAGAGACAGAGAGGGACTGAGAGCATTACTGTGGATCAAGCAATTACCATTTTTTACCTATATGACTCTGAGAAGCACCAGAGTCGCAGCCATAACCATTAAGATTATAGAAAGAAGCAAAACTGTGGTAATTCTCCAGTTCTTCTTATTCTCACACATTAAAAGCTGAGACTAGTATTTATGGAACCATTCTCAATAGTAAAAATGGCTTTTTGGCTAGCAAACATAGATATAGGAATCATTTTAGCTAAAACAGTATTAAATCAATCCTATATTCTTCATAATAAAGTTCTTCTATAATAATAAAAAGAAGTTCTACCCTTCTCTGAACAGATCAAGGAACAGAGAGCTACTGTATCTGCCTGCTGTTGGCATCGGCCATGAGCACTTAGTAACTGTGCCCTGGCCAGCCAGGGAACTCTCAGATGGCAACAGACACGTTTATCCTCAGCATCTCACACCATCTGGGCTAACAAAAACCAGATTCCTGCATCTCTCCTGAGGGCAGCCAAGGCAAGAGTGATTACCTTTCAACATGTTGGGCTAAGCTGGAGAGGGCTGGGGTTATCAGGTTAGAAAACCTACAGGTGTCGTACTTATTTTTCCTATGATATTAACACAGATGTCATCCTGTTTCTTGCAATTCAACAGGCAAAGTGAGATATTTACATAAGAAGGCAGTTTTCCTTCTGGACAAAACACTAGTCTGTCCAGATCCTGTAGCCTCTCAGATCTCTCTAAGCGCTGCCATAACAGAACCAGGGCAGCAGCCTCAGCCTGACCTATGTACTCAATCTCAACTTGTACTGGATGGGGTCTAAGACATCACATATTTCACATGTATACATGTCCCTATAACTTGTGTGCATGTAGGTGTGCATGTATTATTCAAGTGTTCCTGGGAGGAAAGAGGCTATGAAAGGTTAGTGACCAGCCCTACGTCCGCATTGTCCGGGCAGGGGTTGTAATCTACCTACCATCAGTGCCATTCTGTCCTTGAGCCCCAGGCCTAACCCAGTACCCCAGGTTTCTTTCCTGCTGGCTCACCTGGTGGTGGTCCACAGTGAGGCGGGGTAGAGCCCGGTGGAGTCCGGGTCCCAGGGACTTCATGACCATCATGGTCCACACACCAGCAGAAGCCAGTGCTGCCATGACACTGCAGTGGCAGGAAGTTGCCCTGCTCATCGCACTGGGGGACGTGGAGCCGGGCCCCAGGGTGGGCGTGCTGTGCTCGGGCATAGCGCTGCTGGTGTTCACAGGGTTTCAGGCCCGAGGTAGAGTCTTCCAGGACGAAGGCAGAGGGAGACACAAAGGAGAAATAAAAGATATTGCAACCCATCACTTTCACCAGCCAACCTCAAAGTCTCCTGTGTTGAAAAAAATTTTTTGTACAACTGGAAGATGGTACAACATGAGAAAAATAGCAAGGCGCTGGGATTTTGGAGCCTCAAATTCTTATTTTAGCTCTGCCACTATCTACCTAGTTTCTCCCCAATTTTCCCATCCCACTGGTAAGTCCTTAGCTGACTCTAAAGGGAAAGCAGCCAGGCCCTTCCATCAGCCCTCGGGGCCTGTTGCTCTCTGGATACAACAAAGAGCAACCCCTGGCATCTATCCAAACATCCCAGGAGACCCTGGAGAAAACAAGTCAAACCCCACTCATCCCCTGGGGCCCAGAATTCAAGCCTCAGAAGCTCTAGGTCAATGGCAGTCATCAGACTGCCCTGAGCTGGCCAAGTTCCTGAAAGTCGTCACCGTAGGCACCTACTCCCAGCTCACTGGTGTATGTGGCTTCTGCTTAATAAACGTCACCTCGATACATCATCCAACTCATACTTATTGAGGCAAAGCAGATCACTAGGCCAGTTAACCAGAGCTGCTGCTGTGTAGTGGGGGCATCTGCTCCAGGCCCTGGAGAACATTCAGTGCAGCAGGTGGTCACCGAGAGAAGAATCCAACAAAGGCCCCAGACTGGGCTAAACCAAGACTGGGCCTATTGTCACAGAAATATACCACTGAAGGAGCCAGGAGATGAATGTGCCTAATCTGGCCCTGCAAACCTTACCAGGTGTGCACTGAAATCCATCCCCGTGATATCCAGGTTGGCAGTGGCAGGAGAAGGAACCAGGGGTATTGTAGCAGGTAGCTGAGGGGTGACATCTGTTTTCCGTGCATTCATCAACATCTGCGGGTCAGGAACAGAGGAAGGAAGGAAGGAACGGCATGACTTCACTGTACACAATCTGTGCTACTATGTGGTCTCTGTACATGTGGATCAATATGGACCTTTAGGGGTGAGCAGGAAAATGCTGACACCTAAAGGTAAACTTAATAGGAAAAAAAAAGTCAAGGAACATGTGAGTTAACACAGACTAAAAATGTTCAGTATAGAAATCAAACAGGTGGTCACTTGCAGAAAAAAACACCCTGCAGTATATTTTGAAAACATCTTTCATCTATAGTGAATTCCAGGAAGTTACCTTTGAACTAACCTTTAGACTATAAATCATTAACTTCCTTTTAGTAACACTAAAATAAATATATGTAACGATAGTTTTTTTTTTCCTTTCACTGTTTGTACTGTCTCCCTGTAATATTCAATGACAGAGGCAAAGGAGCCAGAGGCTGCCCCTAAGACTTTTTCAACTAAGAAACACATTCGGTCTTGTCTAGTCAGAGCCCCACTATCTAGAATCCCCAATTACTCAGACATTTTCTTTACTTCCTACTTTTAGAAATATAGGAGAAAAAATAAGAAAATTATTATCTGGGGTTTTGAAACAACACATAAAAAAGAGAATCTAAATTCGTCAGGCACATCAGAATAAACAATTCAGCCCCTCCATTCTGCACCTGGTACCATGAGGATTAATGTCCATAACTATAGTTTTCAAAACTGTAAAATCCTGATACTTCAAACAAAAGCCATTTGTATTCCATTTATTTAATGAAATCAGCACATCCCAACAATAGCAAGTCACTCCCCCACCCCCCAAAATAACCCGAGAAATTAATTGTTAAAACTAATGCTCCATACATGAGGTAAGCTCTCTTAAGAGGAAATCTTCTAGCATAAGAGGAGGATAAACAAAGGGTGTAGGTCTGATAGAGGCTTGGCTAAAAGCAAAGCAGTAGTGACATTCATAATGATGAGCAGAAATTATTTTTTTAAATGTGTGAATAGAAAAAATAACAAGATGGGACAGAATCACATCAATTTGGTAACAGCCCATGGCAAAAACACATCGGCCTGGGAAACCAAGGATCTGGAGCCCTGTGATGGGACTGGGCTGGGGATGGGGGTGGCTCCTCCCTCAGCCCCCCCCCATGTCCCAGATGACACTGTTGTAGGCTTCTCCACACCACCTGTGTTCTGACCACACTCTCACTGAGCCACCTCCTCCCAACCAAGGTGCTCTCTCAGGTCCTGCTGAGCTGAGTCACTGGACACTAGACACAGCCCTTCTGTTCACTGAAGAGGAATCTGAATCTCTCACATTACAGTTAGCCAAGTAGCATTCTGCTTACTCCTCTGCCTCTGGGAAGTTTAGTTTATATACATTGGTTCCTTGGAGTCCAGAAACATTCTGAATGCTCAACATGGCCAAGTCTAACACTACCCAGCGAGGCCCTGCTTGGTGAGCAGCTGGTGCCTTCATTTCACCTACAAAGGCAGGAAAGTAGATATAAACTCATCTGCAAGGATAGACACCAACAAGGTGTTCTAGTTAGCACCTCAGTTGCCCCCAAATAAGCCAATATTGTTATATTTAATTATTCTAGAAGTTGGCTCTCTGTCTCTCCAAAAGGACAGCTCAGGTGGCCAGCAGGGTGAGGCTGGTGAGCGTCCAATTCCTTGTCTTGGCAGAGGCTGTAAAACTGGCTGTGAAACCAAAGCTGAAAAAATTAGCATCCAGCCAAATGCAAGAAATTAAAGCCATTCACAATACATGCGCTGAAAGTACTTCTAATGGCAACAGGAACCCCAAGCAATGACAGGAAGCAGCAATGACAGGAACGGGAAGCAGACACAAGGCCTATTTCTAGCACCCATGGATCAGTTTCTTATGGTTATTTTTGAATGGAGAGCGGGGGATTCCCCAGAGCCACGGTTCACTGACGTTCTTGGAGCCCGCGGCCAGCCTGAACGCGGCCTGCCCACAGCCATGCCGCCACCACTGCAGACACTAAGGTTTTGGGGAGACAGTAGCTGCTAAGACCAACCAACATGGGGGAGAGCGGCCACAAAGAGACTGAAGGCATCACAGGTGAGAAATCCCCGTCCCCACAAAGCCAGAGAAGGCGAAGGCTCCTGACCCCCCATCCCCGACTCCTTCAGGGGGTGGTGCCTCACACGGTGACGGAAAATGAGCATCCAGCCGCGCCAGGGCCTCTCCTGGGGAGTGCAAATGCCAACGGGGCTGTGGGGAGCCACAGCTTGTGTATAAAGAGGGAGTCTCCTTTCCTATTTCACAGGATGTCATGCATCGAGAGAAAACATGGGAAGACTTTCAGCCCCTCAGCAACGGAGCAGCTTTCCTCATGGCACCACTGGGGAGGGGGCCACCGACTATGCTTAACAGCCATGGGAAGGGTCTGTAGGGACAGAAGACTGAGGCTAAGATGACACTGTTCAAGGACCAGTAGAGTCCCCTTATCATTCAGGTAATGAGAGGTAGCTCAACCCCGGCACAGTTCTCCACGCTATTAAGCTGCTAAAGAACCAGTTTGGAAAATGTATTTAAAATCCTCCATTTTGAGTCCAAGCTTTGGGGGCTTCAACTTCATTCTCAGGGCCTTCATTCTGAGCAAATCCAGCTGGAGCCGCTTGATAACAAACCCAACCTCTGGACTCCAGTCCCCACCACCACACATTTGCCTTTGAGCCCAGTGAAATTCCCTGGTGCCGATTAACTTCGACCCCACCCTGGACCCCAACAAAGGCTTCAGCCCACAGGAGCCCCATCTCTCTCTGCTCCCTGTTCAGTAGAGCACCCTCTGGCTGTACCCCTGTGATGACCCCACCCCAGACCTGAGTATAATAAGCTTCCTTTCAAGCCTCACTTTCATCTCCTGTGACTGTACCGACTTTACCATACCATGCCCACCATCTACGTTCTTGGAGCATAAAGCCTGAGAAAGAAGAATGTCAGTCCCTCCCTTCTGCCCCCTTTCCTGAGTGATGACAGCTCATCATTACAGATCAGCACGCATCTGCAGCCCAGCTTCCTCGGCTCACACTCGCTCCTCCCTGGGAAGGTCCCAGCACAAGACAACTTGCTTTTGCACCTGGCAAAGTCACCAAGATCCATAAGGACAGATACGCCTGAGAAATACCCAGTTTGCACCAATACAGGGTTGAAATGACTCCAGATTGAGGGAAACCAGAGAAGATCTAACTCCACTTGAATAAAAGCCTCCTGCTAGTGACTCAGACCACACTGAGAACCCAAATCCAAGGGCAGCCTCACCAGCGAGCCTGGGTTTTCACAAACTGTGCCTGGAGAAAAACCCACACACTTTGTTATTTTTAGTTTGATGGAGTAAAAGAGTGTGCATGCTTCAAGAAGGCGCATTTCCCACAAAATAGAACCTCCATCAAATATCCTTCAGTGACTGAGACACACGTGTACTATGGAATACCTTTAAATATATGTGCACACACGCACACAGTAATATATTTATATATTTATTCTCCAAGTTACATTCATGGATTAGCCTAGCCTGATTTGTGCATGGGTCTTTAGAAAAATGGCTTATTTTGAAGGCAACCACGTGGTAACTGGCTGTGGTAGGCAGCCTCTGACCCCTACACCTGGTAGTATTCATGGTCTTGTGTAATCCCCTCCCCTCTGGTAACTTGCTTTTATCTAACACAATAAAGCCACACTGGGGAGATGTCATTTTTGTGATGACGACTTCTATCTTGCTAGCAGACTTTCAAGCTGGCTTTAATAAAGTAAGCTGTCATGCTGGAGAGGTGCACGTGGCAGGAAACTGAAGGCAAGCAATGACCAGCAAGGACTGAGGCTCTCAGTCCAACAGTCCTCAAACAACCGACTCCTGTCCATAACCATGAGAGGATCCTTCCATAGTTAAGCCTTCAGATGAGACTGCAGACCTGCCAGTCACCTTGATTGCAGCCTTGTGAGAGATCCTGAAGCTGGACCCAGCTAAGCCATTCCCAGGCCCCTACCCACTGATAGCACGTGTGAATTGTTTTAAGCTGCTACATTTGGGGGCAATTTGTTATATAAGCAATAGAAACTAATGCACTGGGGAAGCACTTGATGGGTTTGTGAGCTCCAGAGAGAATCCTAAAAGCAGAGAACCAGAGATAAAACAAGGACCATTGAAAATGACAGAAATAAGAGAGGGCAGCAACAAACAGTGGCAATACTCAAATTCTCAACATAAAAGAATAGCTCATTTCGGGGTCCTTATGTGACCCCAGAAGGTAATCAAAGCTTACAGGACAAGTGGAAGCAAAAAGAAGGAAGAGAGAATGATTCTAGAAAGGATTAGAGCAGGCAGTATCTTACCTAAATTAACATCTGATTATTAATACTTATCACATCTAGGCTGCAATTAATTTTAACTTCTCTGTTTGAAACTAAAGAGCTAAGGAATTAAATACCTTCAAAGCACCACCTCTGCTGACCTGAGCAGCCAGATGTTTAAATATGAAATTCTACAGACAGGTTTTTTTTCTGCATTCTCATTTCTTAGAGCTGGTAGTGGGCTAAATCAAACCGAATGACAAGTTCCACAAAGGTGGAACAAGCATCATTCCCACTGTCAGGCTTGTGGACCTCACCCTGACTCCATACCCATAGAGGGGACCCCCTACCTGTCTAACAGATGGAGCTCTTTGGCTGGGCAAACATCTGTGAATGACATCTACTTCATTCTAATTTGGGAAATTCTTGAGCTTTATCTAGAGCTGGGAGTGTTTATTAAAGAGGTTCACAGTCTGTTACCAGACTGGGCTTTAAGATACACAGGAATCCCAGTTGAGGGTTTCCACCTGTCCTAGTTTGTTTTCTGTTGCTTACAACAGAACACCTAAAACTGAGACATTTCTAAAGAAAAAGAATTTGTTTCTTATAATTCTGGAGGCTGAGAAGTCCGAGGTTAAGGGGCCCCATCTGATTAAGGTCTTGGTGGTGGTGGGGACTCTCTGCAGAGTCCAGAGGTGGTGCAGGGCATCACATGGCTGGGGGCTGAGCAAGCTAGCTCTGGTCTCTCTTCCTCTTCTTATAAAGCCCAGTCCACTCCCACAACAACCCATGAACCCATCAATCCATGAATGGAATAACCCGTTCATGATTGCAGAACGCCCTCATGACCCAATCACCTCAAAGGTCCCGCCTCTCAATATTGCCACACTGGGGGTTAAATTTCAACATGAGTTTTAGGAGGGGATAAATATTCAAATAATCCTTCAATAACTCAACTCCAAAAATATTTAGGAAAAAAAAAGAGGGGCTATACTGAACCACAGCTTAGGTCACTTCAATATAAACTATGTTTCCAAGGAAACCATATAGCAGAGCTTCTGCACAGCAGGAAACCAAGACCAGGGCTCAGACAGCACCACGTGGCCTGCCCCGTCTGCAGAGGAGCAGAGGGCTGGGCTGCCGTCACGCATTTGTCCTATCAATGAGACGTGTCCTCAGCCTGCTAAAACCTGAGGGAAAAGGGGAGAAGGCTGAGGACACCTGAGGGAAAAGGGGAGAAGGCTGAGGACGGAACATCTGGGGAGGAGGAGAAGCCCACGCTCTCTACATCTGCTAGCATGCTCCCAGGAGTTCCCGGGCTGTTCTCAGCAACCAGCCCAGTGGGCCCAGGTGGTGGCGGCAGAGGCAGACAGCAACTCAAGGAGGGGAAAGCCTGCCTGTTAAGGGTTGTAGTCCCCACACAGGCCCTGTCTCATTCCAAACGCCTTGCCCACCATTCTCTCACCCCCACGGTCTCAGTTTCCCATAACTGTGTGCAGGGCTGACGTGAAACTGAGTTTCAAGCCGGTCACATACCACTGGGTATGTTTAGACAATCTTTCATGGTTTATGTAGATGTACTGAATAATCTCTATATTAAAGAACTACTGATCCTAGTTTCATGAACATTTATACCCAGAGAGTTATAGCTAGTCTTTAAGTAATACCCACACACATTCTAAGTTAAATGTGCATGGTTAGCCTTGCATTTTGGTTTAGTGGTTTTATAAATTATATGAAGTCTTAAAGATAGATTTCTGAGGGAAAAGTTTTGCTGAATTAGGTATGCATAATATCTGTTTTATCCGTGGAATTTTTTCTTCTTTTTTGAGAAGATAGGGAAAAGTAAAGAGAAAGAATCATACGCGTATTTAGAGATGGCATCGCAGAGCAGCATGACTAGAAGTGCCGAGTTAAGCTGCGAACCGCAGAGGTTGAAGGACAGAGACTTCCAACAGGAGCACATGCACCTCCCTGCTAAGTTCCCAGCCGTCACTCGCTCCCTGGAACTGAGGGTCACAAGCTGGCAGGGCTCTGTGGTCCTCCAGGAACGTCTCCATAAAGGACAACCACACGCGCTGCCAGCTTCATCCAAGGGGAATCACCCTTGGCTCCCCTTTCTGACTCAGAGGTCACCTTTTCTCTTCCTCTTTTGGCAGCTGCGAGAATGTCTGAGTGAAAGGAAGGCAGAGGCCCTTTCTGGGAGAGGTCCGGTCTATCTATGTGAGGATGTGGATCCAAGGCTGCTTTCCAGGTGGCTGAGGCCACCCGCAGGTAACTCACCGGAGCACTGGTGCCCATTGCCGGTGTAGCCAGGCAGGCAGGCGCAGCTGAACGTGCCGTCCCCGTGGGGAATGCACCGGGCCTGCCCAGCAGGCGCGCAGGTGTGGCTGCCGTGCTCGCAGGGGTTGGGAGGCGGGGCGATCACTGAAAAGAGAAGCACGGACATCTAGGAGTTCAGGCCTGTGGAGGGTGAGCCTCCCTCCTCACAGCATGCCTGGGGTCTGTGAGGAATGTGGGTTCTCAGGCCCCACCCCAGAGCCAGTGAGTCATGATCTGTCTTCTAGCAAATTTAGATGGTTCACACACATATTAAAGTTCGAGAAGTGCTGATATGGGTTTGTGGTTAAAATATTAAGCATGAACATCCCAAACAATCCTAGATTAAAGTTTATAACACTCCAAGGCAACTGCCAAACACACACACAGTTTCTCTCATCACTGCTATTTTTCTTGCCACTGGATTAAAAAGTGTGTTTTTCTATTATCATCTAGTTCTGTCAATGGAATGAGTTTGGAATTCTAGTTCTTTTTGATCCATGTTTAGGTCTGAAGCATTTCGGGGGGGGCCCCTATTTATTAGGGTCCATTTATTTGAGATGAGATCTTTTGCTGGACAAGTGGTATAATTATGCACCTGTGATTTACAAATCTACCTCATTCTAATTTGTGAAATACTTGAGCTCTATCTAGAGCTGGGGTGTTTACTAGAGGTTCATAGTCTTGTTACATGACTAGGCCAAATACCAAAACACACGGGAATCCCAGCTGAGGTGAACATCCTTCAATAACACCACCAAAAATATTTACGGGGAAACAAAACAAACAGGGCAGAACTAAGCCATAGCTTTGGGTTATTTCTATGTAAATTGTGTTTTTAAGGAAACCACATCCCAAAGCTTCTGTATAACAGACATGGAAACATTAATGGGTTAAAGAGTAAGATTCAGCACCATTTTGGCCAAAAAGGGAAATGATTCTGGTACTCACAGATGCAAGTGTGCTGGTCATCTGCAAACTCATACCCGCTCCGGCACTCACACCTGTAGCTCCCAGACAAGTTGATACACACAGAGTTGGGGCCACAGCGGTGGAAGCCAGTTGCACATTCATTTACATCTAAGGAAAAAACGGAAACAGAAAGGTGCTGGTTAAATCAAAGATCCCGGAAGTGAAGGTCTGAAAACTCAATGTTTTCTAACTACTATGATGATTCAGTGGGACTGACGGTCGGTGGACTAAACATGAGTCAAAGCACAGAATTTCTGGCCGGGCGCAGTGGCTCACACCTGTAATCCTAGCACTCTGGGAGGCTGAGGCGGGCGGATCATTTGAGCTCAGGAGTTTGAGACCAGATTGAGCAAGAGCAAGACCTGACTCTGGTAAAAATAGAAAGAAAATAGCTGGACAACTAAAAATATACACAGAAAAAAGTTAGCCAGGCATAGTGGCGCATTCCTGTAGTCCCAGCTACTTGGGAGGCTGAGGCAGGAGGATCGATTGAGCCTAGGAGTTTGAGGTTGCTGTGAGCTAGGCTGACACCACAGCACTCCAGCACAACCAACAGAGCAAGACTCAGTCTCAAAAAAAAAAAAAAAAAAAAAAACACACACACACAGAATTTCTAAACATCAGATACGAATGCATGTTACAGATCAGAAATAAAAATTTATTTAGAGTCATTCACGAGTAAGATATGGGGAGGCAATTTTTGAATGAATATTCTAAGAATTCTTTAAGTCTTTTAAAAATAATGGATACTTAGAAGAAAAATACACTAACAATTTCTTTAAAATATAAAGAAATTTCTATTGCTGCTTTTTGGGCTATAATAGATGAAAGAAACACAATGTCTGAAATTTAAACAAAACCAGAAATCATGCTTTATTAGTAAATCCAAGAACTACTTAATACAGGCTCAAAAGTATAAAACTCAAAATATCTAGGAACTGTAATAGTTTTTTTTTTTTTATTCCACAGCTCTAGCCCAAGATGCTCCTCTTTTCCAACGTAACTAGGCCATGCTTTAGTTTTTAAATGACTGTATTCATATTAATAGCTGCTAAAATCACAGACCAATGGAAATCAGAGATGGTAGACGCTTGTCTCCCACAATGCCTTAATTCTGGGGAGGGCAAAGCACACACCAGGGCTACCTGAAAGACACAGAGATACGGCTCTTACCCACACAACTCCGCCCATCTCCCTGGTATCCCGATGCGCACTCGCAGGTGTAATCTACACCTGTCCCTGGATGGCACCGGGCTGTTGTGTCACACGTGTGGCTCCCATCATAGCAAGGATTCACTGGAGCGGGGTCCGAGTCCTCTGCATGGATAGAAAGGAAATAAAAGCACAATCTGGCTGTTGCTAAGAAAATGACACAGAAGGAAGGAGACAGAAGAGTCCGTGGAACTGACTGTGTGCTCATCTGCTTTGTGCTACACCTGGAGACCTTAGTAAATCATCAATATCCAAAGCCAAATGTGTCATCCACATGGCAGTTTTAAACTCCAGAAACGGCTTCCCATTGCCTACCCTATACACAACTGGTACCTTTTCTTGCTCTCAGTAGGTTTGGGCCCAGGGAATAAAAACGTCCAACACATCTTTTTATTTAGAAGTGCTTTTGCTCCATCATCTCCTGTGATTCTGAGAATAATTCTGTGTGGTGAGCTGTTGCCCCCACGATGGGTCATTTTCACACGAGGAAAGTGAGAAACATGGGGAAAACTGCCTGAGCTCACAGTCAGGAAATGGTAGAGTAAGGACTCAGATCCCAAACTTCTGTCTCTAAATTTGTCAATCTCTCACTAAAATTCACTATTTTTATGAGTAAAGTCTAATTAATAAAGATATCTTGCTTTGTAAAGATTTGTAAGACCTACCGGGCGCAGTGGCTCACGTCTGTAATCCTAGCACTCTGGGAGGCAGAGGCGGGCGGATTACTCAAGGTCAGGAGTTCGAAACCAGCCTGAGCAAGAGGGAGACCCCGTCTCTACTTTAAATAGAAAGAAATTAATTGGCCAACTAACATGTATAGAAAAATTAGCTGGGCATGGTGGCGCATGCTTGTAGTCCCAGCTTACTTGGGAGGCTGAGGCAAAAGGATTGCTTGAGTCCAGGAGTTTGAGGTTGCTGTGAGCTAGGCTGACGCCACGGCACTCTCTAGCCTGGACAACAAAGCGAGACTCTGTCTCAAAAAAAAAAAAAAAAAAAGATTTGTATGACCAATTAAACACGAATGACTTTCCCAGTGTTTATTCTTCAGGAGTAACCTTGCCATGGATCCATCCACCCACTAGGTAGTGATGACTGTGAACATCTGAAATCTCCCCTAAAGAACTCTATTTTTAGATACAACATAATAGTTAATGCTCCTTGAGTATTTATTAATAGGTGCCAGGCACTGTTCTAAACTGTGTGTATATACTATTCCATTGCATTCTCAGAATTGCATGGTGAGGAAGGCATTATAATCATCTTCATTTTTCTGCAGCACAGAGAGGCCAAGTAACCTGCCCAAGGTTGTGCAGTCAGAAGAGGTAGGTGGAGCTAGAACAAGATAAAAACCCAGACAACGTGGCTCCAAAACTCATGCTTTCCACCACTTTGCTGCAACCGGGATTAACGGGATGAATCCATTAACTTTTGGACACTTCTGATTCCTCAGGTGTAAAAGAGAGATAAAAATGCTTATATCTGCCAGAACTGCTAAAAAAAATAAATAAATAAATTTTAAAAATCCAATACAACGCATTTGAAAGGCCATTCCCAATGGCAGGTCTACCTAGCCTCCAGTAACTGCATTCCTTCCTCCTCCTCAGTGGGGCCACTGTTCATCCTCATTTGAGGTTGTCACTTTGCCTCAGAGTCCTTAGGAATTCTAATTGTAGATTCAGAAGATTTCAGGAGCTCCAACTAAGCCCGTGAGGCTTTACGTTAAGCCATCTGTGCTACTAAGGGGGCTCTAAGTTATACTTGGGCCTCTGGCCTTGTACTTCTGTGCCCGATTCCCTGTCTTGGATAGCCAGCTTAGTACATTCCAGGTCCCGCCCTGCACTCTAGTCCCCTTGCTAACCCGGACACCAGCACCCTGGCATCTGCAGGCTGACCTCGGCAGCACTGCCTCCTCCTCCTCTAACTAGCCTTTCACTCTGTCTCACCCACATCCGCCCACCCCCCTCACCTCCTGTGGGTGAGCCCTGCCCAAGCGACTTCTACTCTAGACCCCAGGTGCTTGCTGCTGTTGCCTGCCCTGCAGACCACCTCCCTCCCAGGCGTCCAGGACAGCGGGCATCTTCCCAGCGCTCGCCCCCACCCACGTTACGGCTCTTCTTCCCATTTTCTCCGCCAGTCTGCCACGAACTGGGATGTCTTGGCTGAGATACTCATGTCTTCTGGTAAACTCCTACCATCCACTTTGTAAGTAACACCACAGTGTGGTCCTGTAGCAGAAAACATTCCCATATTATTGATTCCCACATTATTGGCTGAAAACGAGGAGGGCTACGGGTTTGTCCTTGGTTCGCCTCAATGATGTTGGCTGGAGTAACAGAGTCTTTGCCAAACAGCGGACCGACAAACGGTGCCAGCACTTTGTCAGCACAAGCCTCGCTCCCCGAATCACGCAGGCGTCCTTGGGAGTCCCTCCCTCTGGACCCCTTGGCAGGCAGAAGCAGCACAACACTGGGGTTGCGGTTGCAGAGTTAACTTGAGACCATAGGCCAGGTCCCTGAGTCAGGCCCCAGCACGCATAAGCCGAGAACAGGGTCATGACCTCACTGAAGGCCCAATGGGAGACAAGAACCTGAGTCTCCCCCCACTGTTATTTCTCCATGTTAGAAGATTCTGTACAAAATGTCTGGCATACCCTATCAAAGGAGGAAGTAATCCTCAAAATGTTTTAATTTATAAATACTAATGCTTAGCCTTCTTATTGAGTACTTTCCAGCATCAAAATTTCACCATGGCACATTCCAGCAAAGATTAGTGAGTTCACATGGATGTCAAGAGCTTACCACTCTGCTAGGCATTAAAAAAAAAAAAAAAATGCAGCTCAAAAGTTGACTAGCAAACTTGGATAGGATACACTATCCTACCTGAAATTAATAAAATGTCTATAATCACATGATACCAATTTCCAACGTACTGCACTGACAGGACTGTCTACATAATTTGCAGAGCCCAGTGCAAAAGGAAAACATGGAGCTCCTTGTTCAAAAATTAAGAATTTCATGACGATGACAGCAAAGCATTAAACCAAGCATGGAGCCCTTCTGAGCACGGGCCCCTGTTCACTGAACTTGGCTTCCAAAAACATTTTAAAAATACATTTCTAAAACCATTTCACGATTCACTCTCTATGGCCTGTTAGCTTTTCTCCTATTATAGTCAGCAAAGAACAGCAATATCCTTCTTAAGACATTTTGTGTTTTGCCCTCACCCTCTTAAACTGCTTGACTCTGACAGAGGATCTGGAACTAATTTACTCATTTAATTAAGAGGGGAAGAGCGGTTTTCCTTAAAGGGACAGTCTGTCCAGCCTCACAGCACAGCCCTCTGCCCAGAGTCTCCCCACCTCTCCCAGACGACCCCTGCAGTGGAAGGACAGGAAGGATTTGGGGATCCTGCTCTGTGACCCCACAAAAAACAGCCAACCGCACTTGAAGCTCAACCAGGGGCGGCACCAGTGGTCCAAGGGAGCAAGGGCTGCTGGCCCTGGTTACTCGCTGGGAGAGACACGCTCAGTCTGCATCCCACCCTGGGAAACCACGGCGCCCACGCTGGGTGGCCAGATACAGGCAGCTGCGCTGTTGCGCGCGCATTCCAACCAGATAACAGCTCCCTCTGGAAAAGGTGAAAGACTCAAGATGATACTGCTACGCACTGAGACGGGAAAGAAAAGGGCTTTTCATTTTGGTGTTTCCTTTGTTTTCTTTTCCCTCATGTTTCTCCCATTCAAGTAGAATGAATAGTATTGCTGTGGGTGAAGTAGGGTTCAAACGCAAAGGGTTTAAACACACATGTTGCCTCTTCTTAAATTTGGTCTAAATGATGAGGCAAGTTACAAGGCCAGGGGAGTCCACAGGGAACAGCAGGGCCGTGAGGGGTGAGAGTATGGGCTCTGGAGCTGGTGCCTAGGTGTGAGTCCCAACTCACACCACTTACTGTGACCTCAGTCTTGTGAGCTGTAAAATGGGATAATAATAATGCACTTTCCCCTGGGTAAAGGTTGTTGTAGGGCTTAAATGAGTTAATTCATGTAAGGTATTTGGACCAGTGCTTGGCACCAAGTAAACCACCCTTTGCTATTATTACTTGACTTGGGTGGAAGGGAAACGTCATAAAATTCTCAGGACAAATTAGCTACTTAGTACCTGCCAATTTGCTGGCTTTCTCAGATCTTTTCTAACTCCCATTTGGTATGTCTCCAGGAAAAATATATCCATAGATATATCTTTTCCCTACATGATTCCAGAATCTGAATGGACTCTATGGGCCTCCATTTCACTGATGGCTGTCATCACAGATCAAATGTCCACACCCAGCAAAGGAATGCACCGGACATATAAAGGTAAAGAGTGTGTTCCCCAGTAATTTTGGTTTTAATCTCTCCTTCAGAAATCCACAAAAATATTTTCCTTCCTAATCTATAATACACATTTCTCTAAAATCAACTGACATTTTCACATACTAGTTCACGACCTTACAATCCCAGCTTTGGATACCCAACACCTAACATCTCCAAACAAGCTCCCTAAACCAAAACAACCAAGCAAACCAATAAACTCAGGATTCTCAAAAGTCACTTCTGTATCCTAGAGAAGAGTCTAGTCCTCTAGACCTTACGCTCTTGTTAGCACGTTGCTAAAGCGATTCTACTTTGTTGAGCCTGCTGAGACTTAAGGAGCCCTCAGCCCCAGCAAGAAAGCACAGACCCGCTCTTCGGTTATAGAGTCGCCTCTCTGAAGAATTAACTCTGGGCTGAACACTATCAACAAAGAAATTGAATGAGGGCTACATTCTCTTTCTCCTCACATGGCTCTTGCATTCTAGGGAAAAACAAGATCTATTGGTTTTCAGAATGAAAATGTCCCCTTGATTTGACAAAGTCATTTCCCATCTTAAGATCCCTGACTTTACCACCTCATCCTCTGGCTTGCCCAGAACATTTTCAAAAGATTAGCAGACTTTATCTTTTAGAACAGTTTTAGGTTTATAGAAAAATGGAGCAGAAAATTCACATGTACCCCCACGCCTCCCATTCACACAATTTCCCCTACCACTAACATCGTGCATTAGTGTGGCACATGTGTTATCATTGATGAACCAATATTGATATGTTATTAATGCCCATAGTTTGTGTTAAGCCTCACTCTTTGGGTTGTATAGTTCTATAGGTTTTGACAAATGCATAATGGCCTATATCCAACATTACAGTTATCATGCAGAATAGCATCATTTGAAAAAATCTCATGCTCCACCTAATCATACAGCTTCTCCTCCCTCTGACCCCCTGGCAACCACTGATCCTTTCACTGTCTCCACAATTTAACCTTTTCCATAATGTCATATATTTGGAATCACATGGTATGATGCCTTTTCAGACTGGCTTCTTTCACATAGCAATGTGCATTTAAGTTTCCTCCATGCCGTTTCATCCCTTGGTAGCTCTAGAACTTTTTTATATCTATTTTTAAAAATCAATCTTCACAGATGAGGCTAATGGTCATTGAAATTTGAGAACTGCTTTAGGGTTTTGTTTCCAGCGTTGTTTTCTTCAATTGAGATATAACTCACATACCACATAATTCACTCATCTGAAGGGCATAACTAAATTACTTTTAGTATATTCACAGAGTTGTGAAACCACCACACAATTTCAGAACACTTTCGTCACTCCCAAAAGCAACCCTGTACCCTTTAGCTGTTAACTCCCTACACCCCCCATTCCCTGCCCCCAACCCTAGTCCTGGGCAACTACTAATCTACTTTTTGTCTGTGTGGATTTGCCTATTCTGGATAATTCTACATGAAGAGAAGCATGCAATAAGCTGATCTTTGTGACTGGCTACCTTCACTTAGCATGTTTTCAAAGTTCGTCCATGTTGTAGCATGTATTAATACTTCATTCCTTTTTGTGGCTAATATTCCACTGTGTGAATGATTTTTTTCTATCCATTCATCAACAGATTGACATTTGTGTTGTTTGACATTTTGGTTATCATAGTGTTGCTATGAATATTTGTGCACAAGTTTTTGTGAAGACCTAAGTTTTCATTTCTCTCCTAGTACTAGTTAGAACTGCTCTGTCAAAAGTAACTTCATATATAACTTTTTGAGAAACTCCCATTTTTCATGGTAGCTGCACCTTTTTATACTCATAGCAGCAATGTACGAGGGTTCCGATTTCTCCACTTCCTCACACCAACACTTATTACCCATTTTTTATTATAGTCCTCCACATGATGTAAAATAGTATCTCATTGCAGGTTTGATCTGCATTTCTCTGATGACTAATGATGTTAAGCATCTTTTCACGTGTTCCTGGGATATCTGTATATGTTTTTTGGAAAAATGTCTTTACAGATCATCTGGTGATCTTTTAATTAGATTTATCTTTGAGTTGTAAGAGTACTTCATATATTCTAGAACAAGGCTCTTATTAAATATATGACTTAAAATATTTCCTCCCATTCTATGGGTTATGTTCTCACTTTGTTGATGATGTCCTTTAAAGCACAAAAATTTTTAATTGTGATAACAACCAATTTTTCTTTTGTTTGTGCTTTGAATGTCATACCTAAGAAACCATTGCCAAATTCAAGGTCACAAAAATTTACTCCAATGTTTTCTTCTAAAAGTTTTAGCTCTTACATTTTAAGTTCTGGGCCCATTTTGAGTTGATTTTTGTATATGCTATGAGGTAGGGGGTTCAACTTTATTATTTCAGAATTTTATGGGGGTATACACATTTTTGCTTATATAATTTGCTTTTGTACAACTTGAGTCAAAGTTGTGTGCCCTTCCCCCAGTGTGCATTGTACCTGTTAGGTGTGGACTGTACTCTTTTGTATGTGGTTATTCAGTTGTCCCAGCACCATCTGTTAAAAACTATTTCTCCATTGAATTGTTTTGGCACCCTTGTTAAAAAAGCAATTGACTGTAAATGTGAGCATTTATTTCTGGATTCTCACTTCCATTCCATTGATCTGTACATCTAACCTATGCCAGGACCACACTGTCTTGATTACTCTAAAAATCGAGTCTTCATGGTTTTTTTCTAAGATTGTTTTGGCTATTTTGAGTTCCTTGAATTTCCATTTCAATTTTAGAATCAGTTTCTCAATTTCCACAAAAAAAGTCAGCTGGGATTCTGATAGGGATTGTGTTGAATCAATAGATCAATTTGGGAAGTATTACCATTTGAACAATATTAAGTCTTCCAATCCATGAACAATGGAACATCTTCCCATTTATTTGGGTTTTCTAATTTGCTTAAAAATGTTTTATAGGTTGCAATGTACAAGTATTGTACTACTTTAAAAAATTTTATTGCTAAACATTTTCTTTTTGAAATGGAATTTCTTAATTTCATTTTTAGTTTGCTCATGGCTACTATAGAGAAATACAATTGATTTTGGTATATTGATTTTGTATCCTACAACATTGCTGAACTTGTTTATTAGTTCTAATAGTTTTTTAGTGAATTCCTTCGATTTTACACACAAAATCTGAGAATAGAGATAAGTTTACTTCTTCCTTTCCAATTTAGATGCCTTTTATTTCATGTTCTTGCCTAACCACCCTGGCTAGAGCTTCCAACGCTGTTGAACAGACATGGCAAGAACAGACATTCTTGTCTTGTGCCTGATCTTAAAGGGAAAGCATCTAGTCTTTCACCAGTATATTATGTTCCTGGAGGTTTTCATACATGAGGTTTTACTCTATCTTCCTAGGCACTGGGCTCTTGGTTTGGTGAAATCCTTGTCATCCTTTAAAAGTTTTAGCTCAAAATGTCACTTCCTCTGAGACATCTTCCTAGAACCTCCAGACTAGACTCCTAGCACCCTGCACTTACCCCAGTTATAAATACTTGTCAGCATCACTCTCCCTCCTACCTTGGCCCCACCTGCCCATCACGGGCACATTCCCGACTGGCACATACAGCTGGGGGTGGCTGCACACCAGCCTCACTTACTGTGCTCTATTTCCCCAACTTTGGCAGGGACATGGTTGCCTGTTCTAAAAGTTCCATGTCTGCCTGTCTCCACCTCAAGAACCCCGATTTATCCTTCCACTCAGCACCGGACACAGAGTCAGGCACTCGGTAACCCTTAGTAACTCCTCAAAATTTTGCCCAACAACAAAAAAGGAAACCTTACCTTCAACGGGGCCAACTTGATTGGTCACAGCAAATCTAAGTACTCTTTCTTCATCACTGTACAAGGCGAAAACCCGGTCCACGTTCAGCTGCTGGGTGGTGGGGCTGGCCGGGTGTCTGGGGGTGTGTCTGCACACCTGGTAAGTGATGTTCTGCTGCACGCGGTAGGACCGTGTTTGGTTGATTGCACCAAAAGTGAGAGAGTAGTCTCTGGAACTTGTGGAGGTCACGGCTGCAACAGACACATTGCACAGGCAAACCGGTACATTTTTTTAAATATTAGAGATTTTCACATGGGGTGGGTTTTTCTGCACAGTTTTTCCATCTAATTCTTTGGAGCATGTTCCCTTGGGAACTTCGTGAGTTTAAACGGGGAACTTGCAAGGAAATCTCAAGAACCCGAGTAGATGCAAAGTCACAGGGCCAAGAGGGAAGAGGTACTAAATTGTTGGTGTCATTATACTCAAAGAATAACCTTTTACTCTGTGCCGGCCGGGCTAGGTGCTCTATACGTACTGCCTCAGTTATTTCTCACAACAGCGCAATGAGGTGGGCACTGCAATCATGCGAGCAGCGGCTCACAGAGGTTAGGTAAGTAGCCCAAGACGCAGGGCTGGTGTGTGGCAGAGCAGGAACTGAAACTCAGGTCAGTCTGACTCTACACCCCAAGTTTTTAATCCATCCTCTACACTGCGAAAAGGTGATAGCTTCCAACCCCTGGCACTTCATTGAATCTGAAGGGTTCTAAGGAAAGGATTCTGAGTCTGGGAGTCGAGCCCAGGCCAGTCATCTGCCCATTAGCTATTCTGTGCACACTCCAGACCTCTACTTCCCATCCTCTTCCCTACATCTCTCACATCATCAGAGAAGTAACGGCCTAAGAAAGGCACTGCTCAGGCTAGGCACGGTGGCTCACACCTGTAATCCTAGCACTCTGAGAGGCCAAGGCGGGTAGATTGCTCAAGGTCAGGAGTTCGAAACCAGCCTGAGCAAGAGCCAGACCCCATCTCTACTATAAATAGAAAGAAGTTAATTGGCCAACTTATATATATATAGAAAAAAATTAGCCGGGCATGGTGGTACATGCCTGTAAGTCCCAGCTACTCGGGAGTCTGAGGCAGGAGGATCGCTCGAGCCCAGGAGTTTGAGGTTGCTGTGAGCTAGGCTGACTCCACGGCACTCACTCTAGCCTGGACAACAGAGTGAGACTCTGTTTCCAAAAAAAAAAAAAAAAAAAAAAAAAAAAAAGGCACTGCTCAAACCAAACTGCTGTAGTGCAGAGCAGCAGCTGTGACTAGGCAGTATCTCACATGCAGTTAGTGTCTTACAGAACATCACGCTTCACACATTGACCGTGTAAGGTAGACAGAAAAAGTATTTTTATTCCCATGCTAAAGAGAACAAAATAGCCTCTCAGATATTAAGTGATCTTTCCCACACATCACATTTTTGTTTATTTATTTTTTTATTGCATGGAAGTTTTTCCAGTGAAAACCAGAAAACCTGCTAGAGAAATTCTAAAAGAGCTATAACACTTCCCACATAGTTTAAATGGCAAATCTAGGATATGAATTCTTATTCTTCTGACTCCAAATCTAACATTAGTTTTATAATATTGTGCAACATCTGTGATTTTTAACACAAGCTGAAATCATCAACTGAAAAAGTTACAAAACAAATATAAATTTCAGTAGTCAATATTTTCCCATGTTTCAGAGGGTAGGATGGTTAAAAACGCTATGTAATTATACCATCCCTCCCTACCCCATAGACAACATTAATATTATTTGAAAGCATTGGGATATTGATATTCCTGTGTGTAGCAGCCAGCATTCTGCTCACTTATGATATATATTTGATAACAAGAATAAAAATGATATTGAGCCCACATTACATGCCATGCACTGTTCTAGGACATTCCATGTAGTAACACATTCGATCCTCATAACTATCTTGTGAGATAGGGGCTATGTCCATTTTATAGATGGGAAAACTGGTTACACATACCTGAGTCTGAGTAATGGTAAAGCTCCTTGTAGGGAGAAACGTGGGCCGTGAAATTTGCTGGGATGTAAGGCACCTGCCCTTGAATGTTGGTCTTAATGCTCAGATAGTTCTCTGGGTCAAGTCCCTCAGCAGTTTGAGTGATATGAACCCTCTCCTCTCCTGGGTAAAAAGTAACTTCCATATCATGGATAAAGGTAGCACCTGGAAAAGAATAAAACTAAATTCAGCACAGGGGTGAAAGAGGCTGCTTAAATGATTACCAGTGCACACTGCTCCCTCCCAATTTCTACTGCTGTAGGAGACGGAGATTATCTGATAGCCAAGATTATCAGCTGTTGGTTCCATAAATTACCCAGATTTTTTATTAAAGAGTGTGGTTTCATCCTGTGTTACCTCACACTGCTTCTCTTTGTAGGAGCTTATGTTCTGTGAGAAATAAACTCTTGAGCATTCTTGATTTTTCTCTAAGGTTGCCAGACTAGGCAAAAACAAAAAAGGGAGGGGAAAAAAAACCAAAACTCAAAAACAGGACACCCAATTAAATTTGAATTTCAGATAAGTATGTCCCATGCAGCATTTGGGGGATACTTATTCAAGTTATTATTTATCTGAAATTCAAATTTAACTAGGTATACTATGTTTTATCTACCCACTTTTGACCCAAGGTTTGAGTCAAGTCTTAATTAAAAGGCAAGATCCTATTGACAGCTCTTGTGCTCTGCAGTGGAAATGGAGGAAGAACTTTTTTCGCAGTACTTTATTTTTCGTGCAATAAAGAAAGAAAACCATGAAGAAATAAGCCTTTTCAGGTGGGGCGGTGAGAAACTAAAACGTATCCTCTGCATCCTGGCTATCAAAGGGTAGTCCTCACACCAGCAGCATTGGCATCTCCTGGGAGCTTGTTAGAGCAGCAGAAGCACAGACCTCACCCAGGCCTACTGGATCAGAATTTGCATTTTCATAAGACCTCCAGGTGACTTTCTTGCAGGTGAAAGTCTGAGATGCACTGGCCTGTACCATGACAGGTCAGGGACATGGGGTGGGAGAAAGGAAGGGCATCCCCCCCAGTGAAATCAAATCATCACCAAGTGCCCTGGAAACGTCATGTTTGCATCCCTATTCGACAGACCTGTGCACAATAACTCAATTAAACAAAGCCTGACAAATACTGCTTCAACAAATTGAGATAAGAGAACACAAATGCTCCAAATGGAATCATCCTATTTCTCAAAACAGCTGGGTGAACACTGAGAAGCAATCACTCTTTCAAAAAAATCAGTTGTGTGAGGCCAAACCATCCCCAGCTACCTCTGGACAGAAAACCACACACCTGTGGCTCTAGAATGTTAAACAAGCAAACCCTCTTTCACTATGTAAAGACCCAAGGCAGCACACTCCGAGGAGCAACGCAGCAAAGCAGCGAATGCTACCAACCCCTTCAGAGGCCCTACTCACCTGTGAGGCTGAAGCCGTTCTCAGAGCCTGGTTTTTCTAAAGCGAAGAGCCAGCCAAACAGGCCTCCGATTGGAGTGAGGGGCAGAAGGGCCTGGGCCGCGGGCTGCGGGATGTGGCTGATGGCCGTGTAGGCCCTGCCATCGTTGCCCACGACATAGGCGTGCAGGTCCATGTCGGTGAAGCGCACAGTGGTCATGTGGCCCACACGGAGGTGGCCACTCACTTTCCCATTGACTCGATGGGGTACCCCTAAAAGACAGCAGATCCAGTCAGCTGCGGGCATCGCCCAGGCTAGGGATTTGTGCACACAGATAAAATAATTCCCTGACAACTTCCAAAACTTACTCTTTCACAAGTCATTTTAACGAAGGCCAAACCAGTCAATTATCCACCTATGAAACAGCCTGGCCTACGATCTCTTTTCTCCCCTCCACTTTGGCTCTAATGAGCTGGCAAAAAGAAGGAAACATTTCTAGATAATCCTCCAATTGGGAAATCAGCCCAAACCAGTTAATTCCTTAATTCCTCAAACATTTATTGAACACTGCAAGTTACTAGCGCTGTAAGCAGTGGAGATGTCAGGGCCATAAAGCAGCAGGAACAACATGCGCACATCAGCCCCGGCCCGTCACTCACCTTCCGGCAGACAGTGCTTCCCGTTGCCGTAGAAGCTGGACTGGCAGTGGCAGCAAAAGCCGGTGGCGTAGTCCGTGCAGAAGGCATGCCGGGAGCACTGTCCGTGGTTGTGTTCGCAGGTTTCCTTGTTGGCAGCATTATAGGTGAAGACTGAAAAATAAAACAAACTTCCATTACAAGGACTGAGTGATTCCAGCATCATTGCTGCCAAGCTTCATCGCGGACACAGCATCTGCGCCATAAAAGTGGTTTAGATTGTAACAAACAAATGGGGTTTTGATGTTTAAGAGGCAGGAATAACATTCAACCCAGGGGAATTAACTTGCTTTGGCTGCTGGCGAGGAGGACTGCCTACTGCTCCCGTCCAGATGGGAGACGCGGCCTCTCTGCAGAGTTGGTGAGCCGAGACGGAGCTGCACACCCCTGGGTCCAAGTGCAATAAAATGAAACCAAATCAATAAGTACACGTTAGGTTGATGTTTAAGAAACCACCATTTTTTTTTTTTTTTTTTTTTTTTGAGACAGTCTTGCTTTGTTGCCCAGGCTAGAGTGAGTGCCGTGGTGTCAGCCTAGCTCACAGATCCTTCTGCCTCAGCCTCCCAAGTAGCTGGGACTACAGGCATGCGCCACCATGCCCGGCTAATTTTTTCTATATATATTAATTGGCCAATTAATTTCTTTCTATTTATAGTAGAGACGGGGTCTCGCTCTTGCTCAGGCTAGTTTCGAACTCCTGACCTCAAGCAATCCACCCACCTCGGCCTCCTAGAGTGCTAGGATTACAGGCGTGAGCCACCACGCCCGGCCAGGAAACCACCATTTTTTTATGAACCAAAAATGGCCAAATATCAATAGTTTTATATGGTTCAACTTGCTATAGTAATGACCTCCTGAGAGGAAGACATAAGAAAGGAGCTAGCAAATGTGATCTATGCATAACCATTCTTCTCTTTTAGATAACCCTGAACTTAAAAAACCTAGCTGGTCTACTACCCAGATTTATTTTTTTCCCTAAGATGGAAAAGTCTTAAAGTGTTTGTGGAGAAGGGGATGGAGGAGGGCAAAGGAACGGGGAACAAGCTGCTAGAACTCTCTATGCTCTAGGCAGGGTTCACTGTGATGGGCGTGGCACATGCCAATTTCCATTCATTAGTAGAGAGCTTGGGCCACAGTCATAGGTCTCCTAGGAAGCCAGGGTGGACCAGAGTAAGCTCAGTGCTCCAGTAGCTGTTTCTTGTATTTCCTACTTATTCTGTCCATTAAAAAAATAAAGAAGAGGGCCATTCATGCTACAAAGAAACAGGGGGATTGGAGCAAATACCATTGTCCATAAAGGAAATGCCAAGGTGGTAGGGTGTGGCTAGGGGTCGTGGATGGACAGGAGGGCGCTTTCTCCAGGACTCCGGGGAACATGCCATTCCCAAGCACGGCCACCAGGAGGCCAAGTGGCCGCGCACACCTCCGCCTCCATGCCCCTGGAGCGGTCGCTGGAGACTCCAGAAGCACACTGAGAAATTCACTAGGAATTCAAGTGTGAGACACTGGTGACTGGCATGAAGTGCCAGCTCCTGAGGAAGAAGGATACCACCCTCTGCTTAGGAAAAACTAGGCAGTCGTTGTGTTCCAGGTCCAGGTCTGAAAAGGAGGAAACAGGAGGGGAAGGAAGAAGTTGAGAGATCAATATTTACCCAGGATTCCAGGGGAGAACAGAAAACAAAAAAACCAAGAGGGGAAGATAGAGCATCATATGTTTACCACCACCGCCAGGATAAAGATTTGTATCAGCAAATAAAAATGTAACAAAGCTAACACCGAAACAGTGTTTAACATATGCCAGATACTACTCTACAAGCTTTGTTAACTCTTAATTTGCACAAGGGTCCTAGGTAGCAGGGCATATTTTTTAATCCCTGTTTGCAGGTAAAGAAACTGAGGCACGGAGGATTAAAGCAACTTGCCTGAAGTCCCGGGGAGTGGCAAATGTTGGATTTGGACCCAGGAAGCCTGGCTTCAGCATCGTAACTACAGAGTACCTGTGGCACGAGCTCTAGGTTAGAGCTCCGATCAGGTGTTTGCGGTGAGTCAGCGTAGGCTTCAACAAGTAGGATTTGAGTCATACCTTGTCAATCAGGCTTAACGGTAGACAAGAGCAGAGATTATCCAGATGAGTATGACAGCATGTTGGAAGAAAAGCACAAGCGAGAAGTGAGAGCAGTAGCAGCAGCATTAACGTCTGGCCAGCGCCTGCGTGCTACTTGCAGATCCGTGAAAACACAGCACGCCGGGGGCCGGCAGGACAGACAGGCAACCTTGATGCAAGTGGAAAATTTGATTAGGAACGTAGTAAGAATGAAGTTAATGACTCAAGATTTGGTACAGGGCCTTGATGACTTAGTTGAGAAATTCCAGTTGGATAAAAATAGAAAATTAGGCATAACTCAATTTTTTTTTTTTTAAACAGGAAAGTGACATAAAACTTAAGGCAGAAAAAAAACAGAACAGATGATGACAAAAATATTATAGAGGTTGCTGGGGTGAAAACTATAGATCACTATCTACCGTTGACTTAAGGGAAAAAGAAAACCATTTTGAGTAAAAAGAAATGAATGTGATTTGGGTGTGTCAAAGTCTCAGGTTTCTCCAGCTCAGAAAGTGACAACTAAAGCAAACAAGCATCTCCTGGAGGGACTGGACACTGGCAAGCGTGCTCATGGCGCAAAGTGGCCGGCAGGACTCTCCCCAGCGCTCACGGTATGAGGGGCTGCAGGGGATCCCAGGCTTTGGGACTCAGCCTCAGCTTTTGCTCAGGGGCTCTGTGGAGACTATGGAAATTCACTGGCTCTGCCTCAGCTTCCTCATCTTGAAAAATCAGGAAGACACCCCCTCACCCCCCTTTCCTCAAACCTGCATTGCCAGAAATCACATTTTTTTTTAATGTACTTCTGAGCACCAAGGTGAAAAGGCAATCCGATGCAGGTGTACAGGGTAGTCATTTTCAGGAAATTCAGGTAAAAATAAAACTCCACACACTGCTCTGCCCACAGCTAAGGAAATGAGGGTTAGTATTGCATCTCTGATGCTTTGGTTATTATGTGAAGAACTTGTTTTTTGGCCCAATTGCTATTCTCACACTAGGTATAAAATAGGGAGAGACACAATGGAAGGGAGACTACAGTAATGGAGAGTTAACTAAAACATGAGGCGTAGTCGTAGCTTTTATACAGGTGAAAAGAGAGGAGCAGGGTAACCCAGCCAGCAGTTTACAAACATAGCTGTGCAGAGGCCTATAAACTGGTTGGAAACCAGACTATTTTTCTATAATGATAGAAATAATTATAATGGTTAGGCTCTCATAAAAGGCTCTTGTGAGACTCAAACCATGATTATGATGAGTTAACTAGTTATTGGTAAGCAAACCTGGAAATCTCTTAAAACAGTTTTTCATGGAAAGCCATATTTTTAGGATGGAACTTGCTGAGCCCAGAACGCACACTCACTCGTCCGACTCCACGATAGCCACAGGAAGGAAGGAAAGCGGACTCGCCCCTAATTGGGGGGATTTCAGGCTCCCTTTATAATCCTTCTTCCACACCTGCGCTCACGCCCCGCGCACACACAGGTCTGCACACTTAACACAATGGCAGCTTGTTAGGTGAAAAGTAAATGCCTGCTGCGAATTTTATTCATTCATTCAATAATTTGACACATATGTATTGAGCGCGCACTATAGGCCTGGCCCTGGTCTAGAAATTAGGGGTTCAGCAAGAACCAAAAGAGATAAAAATTCCTTTCCTGGGCTTACATTCTCCTGGGCAGCAGTCAGTGAATAAGTACATTATTTAGGGTGGTGGATGTGTGAAGAGCTGTGCAGAGAAATAAAGCAGGGAAGGACAAGACGGCAGAAGGAGCAAGTGCACTTGGCTCTTTTAAATAGCGTGGTCAGGGAAGACCTCAGGAGAGGGTGACGTTCGGGCAGAGGCCTGGAGGCGGCCAGGCATTAGCCTCCCGCAGGAGTAGGGGGAGGGCACGACGTTGGGCAGGAAGGGCGCATGGGCATGCAGGAGGGACGGTGAGAGGAGAGCTGGCCTGAGCCTTGCCCACGGGGCCTCAGGGGCCCCAGGAAGGAGCTGGGCTTTCGTCTGAGTGAGACGGGAAGCCACTGGAGGGTTTGGGGCAGAAGAGTGACATGACCTGACTATGGTAAATCAGAAGGAGCGGGTGCCTTGGTAGTAAGAAGTGCTAGTAGAGAGGACGAGAAGGGACCGGATCTGGGATACTCTGGAAGTGGAATCCACAGGGTTTACTGATGGATTGCACATGTGTGGGGTGTGAGAGGCAGAGAGCGAGTTCAGGATGACGTTAGATCTTGGTGTGGGAAACTGGAAGGGTGGAGCTGCCAGTTAGGGAGGCTGAGGAGGGACGGGCTTGCAGGGGTTCAGGCGTTTCGGCAATAGCCCAAGGCATCAGGGACATTCACCCCAACCTTGACAGCAACTTGCACCCTCAGCACGGCGCCATCCCCTTCTTCACAGGGAGAGCTACATTCCTCCTGGGGGATTCTGGGGACCACTGCATCAGGATCACCTGAGATGCTTGTTACAAATGCAAGTTCTTGTAATCCTAGCATGCTAGGAGGCCGAGGTGGGAGGATCACTTGAACTCAGGAGTTCAAGACCAGCATGAGCAAGAGCGAGACCCCACCACCACTAAGAAAAATAGAAAAAAATTAGCCAGGTGTCATGGCGCACACCTGTAGTCCCAGCTACTCGGGAGGCTGAGGCAGGAGGATCGCTTGAGCCCTGGAGTTTGAGGGTGCTGTAAGCTAGGCTAAAGCCACAGCACTCTAGCCCTGGTGACAGAGCAAGACTCTGTGTCAAAAAAAAAAAAAAATTCAAGTTCTGAGGGCCTGCTTAGTCCTACCAGGTGCATCCCAGGAATCTGCACCTGAGGCACTCCCCAAGTGATTCTTAGGCTAGTTGGTGTTGACATACAGGACATTCACAAGCCTACCATTTTGAGCTAGGGATTGCTCATAATGTAGTTAAGCAATTTAATCTGACCAATTCTCGGCTCCTGGGGTGGGCAGAATGGCAGGGAATGCTCTTGGCAGTCATTCCCGCCTGTCTGGGAGTCGAGCTCAGTGCTTAGGG